TCCGCGGGAAGGGCGGCTGCGAAGAAATTGATCTCGCACGCTTTTACGTGCGAGATCGCGTATTATAATTTTTTGTTATTTTTGTTGTTTTAAATTGTGTGCTCTGCTGCGACGAGAAAGACGAAGTGCACCGCTCGGAGCGAGGCGACGGCGGACCTGCAGCGGACGACACGCCAAGCGGGGCAGGATCCACCCCTCGCTATCAAAAGCGATGGGGGCCCCGACTAACTTGCCGCGGGGCGCCAGGAAGGGCTAACCTTAAGGACCAGATCCCGGGGGACGCCCTGGGATACCTAAAGCTTCCGGCAGCCACCTGAGCGCCCACGCCAGTTAGAAGCTGCCGTCAGAAACAAGAGTCCGTCGACATGGAATCAGAGAATTCGGCGGTGTCGCGCGGGCCCTGCAAGGCGCCCGCGCTAGAGCTGTGCGTTCCCGCAGGACCAATGGGACCTAGCGGCGATCGGCGGCTGATACCGCGAGCTAAGGAGCCACGCGCTCGTGGAAAGATTCGTCACTGTGCGGACAGCGAGCGACGCGAGCGTTAAAGCGAACGACGACCTCACGAGCGACGATACCGGAAGCGAACAAACGACTCCGAGAGCGAGCGAACGAGCTGCCGACACGCGAGAGATAGGACGAAGAACGAGGGGCGAGCCCAGCAAGGGATCTTTGGTGAGCTGTCTTCTGCCTGTCGTTCAGTCCGAGCGCCGAAGGACCGAGATGATTGCCGTCGCTTCACGACGGCAGCCGGAAGGGTTCGTCTCCATCCTTGACAAACCGTCCAACCTTGCGAGAGAATAGCCGTCCTTACCGCGCTGCCTGCTGCCGCTTAATCGCGCCGCGACCGCACAGTACGGCGAGCGATTGCGAAAAAATTGTGATGACTCGCGGTCATTCTTAGAAAGTGCGGGCCTCCGAGAGTGGCGAGAAATACGCGGTTCGCGACGAGACACTTAGGGCCGGGATGCACCCGGCTGGCGCCCAAAGTAATAATTAGCGTAACGAGAGAATTTCGCGAGCCTCGTGCCGTTTGAACTCCGCGAAGCAGAAGGATCCTCGACTACGGATCCGGCTGCCGAATGATTTCGCGAATACGCGACTCGGAGCCGGCATAGCGTCTTGTAGTATCTTTCTTTGTTTTTTTTTTTTGTTAAATATAGCGTAATGTTAAACCGTACGTGTGTGCTTTTATGATTCCTCCGACTCTGTCGCCTGTTCCTCTCGTGTCGCGCGAAGGAAGGTCGCGCGTCGGCACAAGAACCCCGCCGCTCTACCGAGAGATAATTTTTTGAGAGCTGCCGGCAAGCTCGGCCGTCGCCGCAACGGCGGAGACGAAGTTTTGGCCGTATTCTCGCGTCTAACTAACGGAGAAACGGTCACACTCTCTATCTCTCTATCTCTCTATCTCTCTATCTCTCTATCTCTCTATCTCTCTATCTCTATCTATCTATCTATCTATCTATCTATCTATCTATCTATCTATCTCGCTCTTCTAACTTTCAGGAAACATCTTTTAGTCATAATTTTCCGGTAACGTCTCCCCCTCAACTCTTCTCGACGTAAGCGACGATGCGGGGAGCGCTGTGGAAAGAACCAATCCCCGCGAATAACCATAGCTGACCACTAGACGAACCAATAGATCTTCCTTACTCCTTACGCTGAGACATATGACGACTACCCTTTTCCACTAGCTCCCCACCTTCGCCTAACGTTCAGTAGGTCCCTTTTCGCCTAAATTTTCCAGGTCATACTTAGCATTCACATATTCTCGACATAGGCGACGAGGCGGAGAGAGACCCTCAAGTTAAAACCAATCCCCGTGAATATCCATAGCTGACCAGTAAACGAACCAATAGTATAAATTACCCTCCCCCTTATACGGCAGCAACCGACGACTACCCCCTACCCCCAGCTCCTCCATCGTCACCTACTCCTTCTCGACTCACTCTTCAGTCGAGACTCGGAACTTCCAGACAACGCTCATGCCGCAAGAGACGAAGTTTATACGCCGTAAGAAACGATGCAATAAAAAGAAATAAAATAATATACATAAATCACCCTGAATAATCCCACCTGATTTACAGTGAGGGCGACGCACCGTCCGCCCCCACTTCCAATATTAATATTTTTTTATTCCACATATTACCCTTCTCCACCAAACCTGCAAAATTCCCCCACCATTCCATTTCGGGACCCTCCCCCACTCTCGACTCACCCTAATCTATCCCCCTGGACCCCATTCCCCCACCCCTCGACACACTGGCGCCAGTTTTTACCCCCACCACCGAAAAATAGGCCACGCTCTGTCTCACCGTAGCTGTACTATATATACTACTTGCGTACTATACCGCGTTCACAATAAACGCGAGCCACGACGAAAGAGCGAGAGAAACACATGTTATCCCGATTATTTATATTTAAAATCGAACGTTTTACTACATCCACGCGCGTTTATATATTCGATTTCCCCCTCGCGCCGAAGCCATCCTGACATTGCACACCGTCATTAGAAAACGTTCCGCGATATCGTGACCTCTGGCGTTCTGCGCTACCGAACTTACGAGGCTCCAGATATCCTCGTAAGTCAAGTTCTGCAAATTCGGGTGAAACGACGAATCAGCCGGTCCGCGTATTAAATCCGTCGAGGTAAAAGATAACTCTACATAATCGCTCATGTTAGCTGAATTAACGGCGTAAGAATAGATTTCGCGGAATGCGTTTTCTAAATGGTTAGCGATGTCGGTGCCTTCGGCGGGCGGGAGAATATTTATACTCGGGCCTCTCGCCCTAAGATACGAAAATGTCTAAACCGCCGCACGTTTTCCCACTGTATTTCAATATAATTTAATCTTACGCGTTATTGCGCTTGTGAAGAACTTCTTCCGGCATAATCTCCTCTCACGCCGGTTCCATTTCGGAGGAAAGAACGCGTCCGCGTATGCCTCCTTGTACTGTAACAAGAATAATGAAATAATGAGAAACGCTGTTCTGTAAAATATTTAATGTTTTAAGTCACCTTATAACTCACGTTCGAGTTTATTCTTCCGGTGTTAAATTAAAATATGATAAATCCCGGCCAAAAACCCATACCAACGTATCGGGAAAAATCCAAAATTTCTGGAGAATTTCTACATCACCCGACCACAATATCCTGTCCCATTCTTTTATTCTTTCTATGTCGGGAATATATAGTATATCTCCTTTCCGCATTTCTTGGCTCTTCCTCCTCTGCTCCAGATCGCCCGCCTCTTGGTGATCGACGAGATCGCCTATTATCTAGAGACGCGCGCTGTGCATCAACACCTGAGAGCCACACTATTTTTAGCAACCTTACCACCGAGTTGAATGTTGCCAGCGCACTGGAACCTTACACTTGTACCTCATCCCCTGCGACAGCGCGATAACGCTGTGCACAAACGACGGGTCCGCGCGAAAACAACTGTCTTCGGTTACTACACTAGCTTAAATTATTGCAGTTCGCACGCATTTGGGAAAACGGAAAAGGGATCAGGGTGTGGAAATGATTACACCACACTGTCACCTTATTGCATCTTTATTTCCTTTTCGTTCTCCATCGCCCTATCTTCCTCTTATCTTTTTTCCTCCCTTCGGGCCACGATCCTCTTAATGAACCGGCCCAAATAATCCCCGGAAGGCGTAGGTATCGACTACTGGATGGTCCTTTTCCCCTTTAATTCTGAACGCGTTTGCGGAGGATCGTAAGCCTCTTTGCAGGTTCTGGACCTCCTGTCGCTCTTCCCTGATCTTATGTCCCCATACACGGAACGTTTTCTCGTACGTCTGGGAAATAGCAAGGAAAGAGTAATTCTGAAAAGAAACCAAAGCCCTCCCG